TGGTGGCTTCTGTTCAGGTACCCTTGCAGAACTACCGACATGAAAGAAAGCATAATACCATCACCACTATACATCTAACTACTTCTTCATCTATGTCAAAACACCATTCTAAGTAGTAGTAAAGCCACCCGTAAACCCATCCAACAATCCATCAACACCCTCCCAAGAGACTTAGTATTCAAATAATATAATAATACCTCCAACTATACATCCCATAAACCAACTAGTATGTATGCAGTATGCACCTCGACGGGGCCAGCCACCAAAACCACCACCCGCAGCGCCATGGCGCCAGCCCAGTTTTATACTACATATACACGACAGCCACAAGCCAGCTAGTCAAGTAGTTAGTTAGATAGTTAGTTATCTATCTACGCAGCAAACAATTCCATGTACTCCGATCAATACATACATACTTACTTACATACATCCTTACAAACCATACAAAAATACCCCCATCAATACATACATACATACAATACCAACACATCCAGCCAAACCATATACTATTACTTCACCCCGAACTCGATCGTCGTAAGCCTACTACTACCTACTCCAAATCTACACCCAAAAAATGGCATAGATGGATCTATGGATACAGAAAAACTGGAGTATGTACGGAGTAGATGAAATGAACGGAGTAGTTCCTACTTCCTAAAAACCAACCATATACCCGATCGGGAACTCATCTCCGCATAAGGCAATGGCCTACGTAGCAAGGGGGGGGGGGCCGCGAAAGGTAAGCATGTGCGACAGATGACTGACTGACCCCTCTCAACGAAACAAAGAACTGACCCCCCGTTACCCTGCCCAAAAAGGGTAAAAGGCACGCTTCGGAAGAATAAAAATAAAGCAGAAAGAAGGGACGGGTACATGCTCGGCAGATACACACGCACACACATAACCCCAATGAACATACCATGGGATGATGGGAATGAGGAGGAGATTTTAGTGGAACATAGAGAAGATAATGACGATGTTAGCTAAGAGCTAGTAGTAGCAGGGACCATAGTTACCATCCAATTTACTGAGAAAAAAGAAGAAGAAGAAAAAAAGCCATTCCCCACTTTGAATAGAAAAGAAAAAAAAAATCAAATCAAACCAAAACGAACGGTAAAGATGATTCCGGAGCCATTCGAGAGTCAGTGGGGGCGGATCTGGCATCCGCCAGTAATATTACGCGCTGTGTTTTTCCGGTGTGCGCCGAGCGTTGCCGGAGGAGGAAAAGGGCCCTAACAGTGACTTTTTAGCGCGGCCTGTCGGCTACCTTACTACTTTGTAGACTGGTGGCCCACAGGAGGTCCCATGGGTCACCTTCCTTATTGTCCATTTTATTCTATCCCATATCCACAGTAGTCTATCTACGTAACTGTCTAGCCCAGCGTCGGTTATGATGTAATTGCTAGCTGGGATCCATTTTCCTCGCCAATGGAATTACATTCGGGGTCTGTGCTTTGTTCTCTCTCATCCTCGGAGATTCAGTCCTGGTGACATGGTTGCATGTGTTGATCTTCAGTTCCTGTGTACTATACTATTCCAGGAGCTGAGTGGCGAGTCTCGGACTATATTCGGATATCTTACGGAAATACGATGGAAATCTGTTCCAGATATTATAACCTCTCTATTGCACGGGTCTGTCGTATATCCAACCTAGTGCTTTTGATGTAACATGAATAGCAGCTTCAAACCCGTTCATCTTCATGTGTCCGAAGTATAGGCACGTCTGCACGCGGAACCCATCACAGCGCACACGAAACAAGTCAAGACATCATTCTGTGCTGCGTAGACGCTGAAGCTTGGATCATAACAGGAAGAGCCAGTTATAGCCCATCCGATAACGGAAACACCCAGGCCATCCAAGAGGGGAGAAATAGTGAAACCATCTCGGTATGCCGGTCTGAAAAGAAAATAAAGAAACGCAACAACAGCAGTGAAGTAATTCCGACAAGAATGGACAGGGTATCTATCGTATTCCTCGTACCTCAACCAGATCCTCGAAATTACAAACCAGATAATATCATCAAGAAAAATCGAACCATTGCCGGGGCCGTGTATCCCCAAACCCAGACGACATTGCCGACAAGGAAAAGTTTAGGATATCGTCAATGATACAACACACAAAGATAAAGACACCAAACAAAGCACGTATATGGCGACAGGGTATCATTGCTCGGGAACTCGTGTATTATTCCCTATCCAACGAACGCCCCGTAGATTGATGCAAGCAATCCCAAACTCCGAATATGAGGCATGCGCTTGAGTAATGTATGCGAACAAGCGTACCTCATGCCACGCACCAGGCGCCGAAAAGACTGAAAAGACTGAAATCCGTACCGAAAGAAAGAAACCCCTTGTTGAGGGTTGAGACAACAAAAATGTTAGACGAAAGTGAAGTTTGCGAGTGACGAAGGACGAAAAGAGCGTCGTGATTTGCCGAGCGGCAGGATTAGTAGCTCAATTTGACCTCAACGGCTGGACTTATGTTTCCCGATCCCGTAGCTGCTGCGGTCTCGAATGATGACGCCTCGGAAATCTCGACAACCATGTCTTGGCCGTCTGGGAGCTCGCGAACGACATCATCATCTACCATTATTTTTAGGCCGTTTTGCTTGACGTGGAGAACTCGTACAATGCGCTGAGGGTCGATGCGCTGCTTCATGGAGATCTTCTCCATTAGATCGCGAACCGTCCGTTCAGTCAAATAGACGGCCCGGTAATAGTCATCCGAACGCTGATCGTTGCGTGGGAATCGTACGTAGAAGCACGCGACTAGGAATGGGTCAGTTCGCGTATCTTTTAAAGGTTACAAGCTTAACTTACTTGGCTTTACTGGACGCTCCGCGGGGGGTCGGTAAGTTGGGTCAATGTCTACCGCCTCTATGAATCCCATGGGCGCGCTACCGTCAGTCGAAGCCACTTTCGGTACCTTGACGGGATGCTTTAGTGTGACCTTGTCGCCCAGGACTTCAGAGCACGGGCGCGAGTTCTCTCGAGATGTGCTCAGGGATCCATGGTACGCCGAGTCATAGAACATGTTCGACTGGAGGTTGGTCGGGTGGCATGGCGAGTTTATTGAGATGCTACTGCTGGTGGGCGAAACGGCATGCAGGGATGCGCCATCAATACTGAAGCGGGATCCACGGCTGTTCTCCCGTTTGAGGAATTCCCGCGACTCGGGGAGCATGACAGGGAACAAGTCCGGGTCGTCTTGCTCCTCGCCCCGCAATCCCAGAATGCTTACCGGTCGCGTTGACGTGAACATGTCTTGCATCAACGCGAGCTTTGCATGGAGATCGTCCTCCAAAGACATCTTGCCAGGGCCGTCCTGCGAGCCCATAGACCATGTCCGTTTGTGCTTGGTAATCTTGGCCGGGCGCGGATCGGCACCCTTAAGTGCAATGGAGCCATTGCTACGCTTGCGCTTCCCGTAGTTACCGGCGCCCATCTCGGCTTGAGCAATCTGTTGTCGAAGTTTCTCGATGGTCTTCTTGACATGAGCGACGTCGTTGGACAGCTTCCGCTCAGCACCATGGTCGCGGAAAAGCTTGACCTTGCAGTAGCACACCTCCGATTCTTTGCCCGAAGTTGAGCTCGAATCGTCAGGAGAGACCATCTCTGTCTTTGCGCACAATCTGACCGGAATACCCTTCACACCCTTAGAATGGCTAAAGTCCGTCGACAAAAAGTTGAATCGAACCGGAATCGAGCACTCCGAAACTCCAGTTGACGGGTTGAGTGTCCAGGTGACGCAGAAACCATCGAACGATGAGCTCTCGAGCTGGATTTGCCGGTTCTTCGTGTCTTCAATGCCGCCTTGTATGGGATCGACGTATTCCACTGCTTGGAGCTTTCCGCCTCGTTGATGCGCTTCATTGGAACCCCGACCTTCCTTCCATAACTGCCAACAAGCAGCCGGCTTTGCCCTCTGCTCATCTTCTTGGAAAGACACACGGATGAAGGTACGATATTTGATCGGTTGCGTGGTCATGGGCGGCGGAGTAGAATCAATCACGGAAACTGAGTATGCCTGGCCTTTATTGAGATATGTGACTGGAATCTCGGCTTGATGGTTGATCATGGCTGTGGGAGCGCGCAAAGTGACATGATAGCGAAACCTGTAGCGTCCAGCACGGTTAGCGATCGAACAAACATGATGAAAAGGGTGGAGCGCTCACGTTTCACCTGGGTTGTGCATACTCGCTTGATCGTCCTGAATTGTTGACGTAACGTAGTGAGAAGACGCATTACCCTGCATATCCACATCATTTAGAGAGAGTTCTTCGACAGATTCGTCCATGGCATCGTAACCTGCATCACTCTGAACGAAAGCACCGGGCGCAAATGCTGGCTGCTGAGCAAACGGTTGGGGGTTGTGGAAGTGTGGCGGGATGTACTGCTGGTCAAAGTGATCGAGGCCCAAAGCTGCAGTGCCGGGGTTGATGGTCGCCGCGGAGATCTGCTGCGGAAGAGAGAGCGGAGTAATCATGCTCAAACCCATGCCAGGGGTATGCAAATCTCCTGCTTGGCTGTGGTATACTGCACCCAGACCACCTGAGTTGGGAGTATAGTAGCCATGTGGCTGTAGTGGGTTCACATAAGAGACAGCATTCGGATCGACAAAAGGCGCTGCAAAACGCATATCTTCCGTGGCGCGGGGTGTAGGATCATTGAGCTTCATATCGTTGTTCATACTCAATCTGGCGCAGAAATATCATGTTAGCTTTCGCCCAAAGATTTCTTCGAGCTCCAAAATAACCAACACAATGATGAGAGAGAAAAGAATAGATTAAGGCAGATACTGGGGTATCGAAAAATGAAAAAGGGCGTATTTACCTAGCTGGAGTGATAGGTCCAATGGGCATCTGACCGAAGCGCGTGGCATTGCGGTGAGTGACTGGGGGAACAACGTCTGAGAAGGTTTTTTGGAATCTCTGGATGAGCTCATCGTCTGGCTTTTGAGAATTCTTTCTGCAAGGGTGGTAGTCCGGTTAGCATGAGAATGGCGGGCGACTCGTCGACAAAACGCAGCATCGGTATTCAATATAGCGACGTACCTGTTGCGGAACATCATCGACACGGTCGGAGGTAGTAAATTGCTTATTCCGTTGTGGTATTCGACGGCGCTTGATGATTTATGGAGAGACGTGGAATCCAGGAGAAAACAAGAAGGCGTTCGAGGGTGAAGGTGGCATTCGGATCGCCAAGCGCTATTCGATCCGGGCCTCGAAGTTATTCGGAGAGGGGAGGGAAGGGCGGTGGTTGTATGTATGTATACGTTTCCCGATCCGTTATTTTAGGAGTGTGGGAAAAAAGCATGTAATTCTGAAATGCGGTGGAGACGGCTCAAGTGTCACATCCCAATCACGGTCTATCGGGGGGGATGGTAGCGATCGCAGGGATTGCGACCACAAAGTGGGCGGCTTCAAGATGATATCGAGGATCGCGAGGAGCGGAGACAAAGAGAGGAGGGGGTGGGAATAATTTGGGGAAGAGGTCCGAGTGGTATTCGAAGACGAGAACGGGTTTTGGCAGGTATTGGGTTTATAGCGGATGCGCCCCTTACTCAGAGATCATATGAGAGGCGGCGGTGGGAGAATGAGGACGACTGCAAAGGGAGAGAGGAAGAGAGAAGGAGAAAGAGGAGAGAGAGAGAAGAAGAAGAGGAGAGGAGAGGAAGCGACAGGCGAGAAAGAAGATACGTATGCCGTATAAAAATGTACAGGAATAGCGGGGAGGCGATAAAAGGGTAAAAAAAGAAAAAGAAAGAGGAAGAGGAAGGGGAAGTAGTACTTGAGGGCCCAAAGGAGGGGAGGAGAGAGTGTGGAAAAGAGGAAGGTGATGATGAATGTTGGGGGAGTCTGCTGGAACTAGACGGTAAGACAAGCCCCCAATAATAGTTCGGATGTAGGGTGGATATGGACGCTGAGAGGATGAAGCCGAGTACCTCTCAACTAAGAGGGAGCAAAGCAATCCGAAAAGATTTAGCAAGAGATTTCTTTTTTCTTTTCTTTTCTGGGATCGGAGGATTTGTGGAAAGAATGTGATAGTTATTAATAAAAGAAGAGAAAAAGGGACCACATGGGAGGCGTGGTGACGTGCAATAATAACGGTTGGTTGAGTGATAAAAAAGCGCAAATGAGGTAGGTATGAAGGAAACCTTCCAGAAACTCTTCTGTCCCTTTCGGTGCTTTCTCTTTCTTTCTCTGTCGGTTCCTGCTATTCTTTTCCTCTATTTAATCCACTTTTCTTTTCTTTTTTCCTTTTTTTTTCTATTTTCTATTTTTTTTTTTTTTCATAAATATACTTTTTGGAAAAGTAGATTAATCTCTGGGTCAGTCTCCGAGATGATTTTCTGGGTCGGACTCAACCAGAAGAGACCCAGGATCAGTGGGGAGGGTGTGAGGGGTGGTGTGGATCCGGTAAATAGTAATATCCCGTCGTATTACATCTGTATTTTACCATTCGCATATACAGCTGTACTTTACGGTTTCTGTATTATACCACAACAATAACTACACCAGAACTACTTAGTAGTTGTTATAAGCACTACTACTGGATAGCCAGCAAAGGTAGTATAGGGCTCCCAACCATTTCTGCCACATTTCAATAAATCCCCGGCAGTCATAATAACCTGTTCCTCAACATTCCAAACGTTCGGATCATCATATCTCCTCTGCTCGGTTATCCTGCCTTGTGAAACCAGCGCAGTCTGGACTCTAGCGGGTATAGTAGTCCCCAAGACCAATAATACACAAATAGGTATAGAGGCCACCACCTGCACCGATCATTAACACCGAAGCGACCACGATACGGTGTCAGTCCATACAATGGAACCGGGGCCAAGACGCCAATGAAGTGGGTTCGAGCCGATTTCCGATTTCCCAATGAACAGGCACATTTACTAAACTCGGGTCCTACGTCATCCTCCCAAGAAACAGAACACAGTAAGAGCAGTGCACTGACAGCCCCATGAGAATACAGAAAAAAGTCATTGACTTGCCATGCGCCGTGGGCTATGCCCAGCCCTACACAGTACCTGGGACACTTCATGGGCGGTACCTTAGCAGTCAACGATCAGCCACAAGACTGTAAGCCCATCCCAAGCCAATGGTAACTCAGGCATCCATACAGATGTGGCAGTAGTGGTTCTTTTGAGTTGGACGTGCGTGTAAAAGTACATACCTTCTCTCCCTACTCAGTTAGGTTACTTAGTTACCTATATCCTCTTTCAGTATCTATGGCGCGGCTGTGAACCGCGGTTATTATGCACAGCGTACCGAATACTCACCTCAACAACTACGACACTTCCTAATACACTCTGCCGACAACATACACCTTTTATCTTCATGGAAAGAAAAGGAAAAGGGAAAGAAATGGAACATTCCCGAGGCCGGTAGCGGAGGACAACAACAACAACAGCAACAGCTCACAACAACACTAATCCCGGTTTTGGAGGAAGGGTTATCTCCTTCCCCTCTTTCCTGTACATACGCGAGGGTGCTGCTGCTGCTACTGCTTCTGCTACTATGCCCGCTCACTCCCAGCCTCGCGAGTATCCGGTCGCGGGTCTAAAAGAAAAGAGGTATCTAGAAGCATCTTTTAGTTTTTCCACCTTCCTACCCCAATTCGTCCACATTGGGTGGAGCCACCAAATTGACATTTAATTTAAGAGAAAAGAAAAAAAGCGGACTATTGCCGAAGTAGGCATTCGGCCAGACCAATTCAGCCTATTGATCTGCAAGCGTTATCACATGGCACCAGTGTCATTATATGATTGACGGTGTCCGCGTCCTGGGTAGGGTAGTAGCGCTCCTCCCACAGCCTATCTATCTATTCTGACAACGCATCTTCACTGGAATCAGTATATACGGTCTGCGATTGGTCTCACATTATCCCATACCGACATGGGACATGGAAGTCTAAAAAGGAAAGGGATGAGGGAGCAGATGAGATGGATCACACACATAACTGCGGGCAGCTGGGTTCCAGGCTGACTGACTGACTGACTAACTGGCCTTGGACAGTGGAGGACGCATGTATATGGAGAAAAAGGAGCGCGGTGGGTAAATCCTATCAATGCGTGCTTGGAAGTGAAACATCCCGACTTCCTTAGCGACAGTTATGGAGTCGAAATGGAGTCGAAAGCTGGGCCGGGAGCTTATTCTGTCGTGCACGGGGTCTTACTGGGGAGTATCGAACCATGAAGCACCCGCCAACCATGGATATGGACAATTATGACACAAACCTGCGCCAAGCACAGACGCACAAGGTTTGGTTTCACACTGCTTGATGCTGCAGGTCAACAGAAGCAAATTAAATCAGTAACTTGGTAGGTTTACGTCTCAGAGAATATCATTCTTCTCACCGACCAGAGCTATGGGACTCTACACTTTTTGCGAGCATCGACGGCTGATACTGTATCATACTGTGTACAGGGATTGTATGAGAAATGTAAAGGGATGTAGGGCTAGACCGACGCCGATTGCTTGGGATGATGTCCCGCCAATCAGAAACATGGGATGTCGGTCCCCGGGTCACATCGGACGGAGTTCCTCAGAACCTTATTACCTAAACAGCCGTGTCGTTGGCCTGGGGAATGCGAAAGTGACACTCCCGTAGTTAGCCTTAGTCAGCTGGGCTAAGTTAGCACCCTCCTTACACACAATACTCAGCCAATACCAATGAAGGAGACACCTGAAGAGAAATAGAAAGCAGAAAAGCTACTAAGGCACCGACCAAACGGAGCTCGTCTATGAACGCATTGGACTCCTAATCTCATGCTGACCATGGTCAGACGAAACCACCAAAACATAGAAATCTGTTTCCTCTTTCGAAGACAAGAAGCACAAGTTACGTCATGCGTCTCAGGGGTACCGGGGTGAGAGAGAGGAGGGGGGGCTGACAGTTCATGCCTGCCATCTGGAGGAATTTCAGAACTGACAATTGCTACGGGTATAGTACCCTGGTTACCTGGAGTGGAAATGATAGGTTCGGTTTAAGCAGAGTGTCGTGCGATAGAATTCATGACAACGCTCGCTCTGATTCGTTGGACGACTGCTCCGAGTCAAGGGGAAGGAAGATAGACCCGCCACATATGCACCAATCGTTGATGGTTTACGAAGACGGCCAGTCCCCAGATTACATCATAACATTCAGGAGTTCCTTTTTTCTTTTTTTTTTATTGCTGCGCTGCTTACACAGTCACTAGCCAAATCCCTTTTTAGCTCACTACTTTTTTCGGCTTTCCCCACCAGCATGCGCAGGTGCATTGCGCATTGCGCATTGCCGCATTTCTGCTTTGAGATTTGGGGTAACTACTAAGTAGTAGTACTACTTTGACTAACGTCATGGACGGGATCGGTCTAGACGCGAGCAGCATAGCACAACACAGCACAACACACAACACAACACCAGTAGATGAGATGATGTTATGCTATTATGTTTCAACAATCCCGCAGATGCAATGCGACGCGATGCGATGCAGTCTCTGTCCGATGATAAACTAAGTCAATAGTCCTGCCACTGACTCAGTCGGTGTAGACAGCATGCATGAGATGACAAGTAAGTAAACTGTAAGTACTAATTAATCCCTTTACTTTTGACCAGTCGTGATCCAGAGATCTTCAATGAGGTGTATATTGTGGCTGCTTTAGTATGTTTTGGACTCCAGTCCTTCCCTTATCGCGGGGCCCATTCTCCCCCTGTCATGCTGTCGCTTATCTGTCTGTCACTGCCATGATGCTAGACTGATTGGATAGTGATTGTCAGGAGACTTGAGACTTCTATCATGTCGTATTGAGAAACAGGTTTAGATTTGTGCTTGAGGTGATCTTCTGTTAGAGAAACCTACTAGTGATGCTAATCGCATTTGGATAGTAGAATATATATATTTATCCCAAGTCACCATGAACTCGGACTGCCGCCATGGTAATGGTATGATAAACAACACGAACAACCAAATAAAAGACCACAACAACAGCAACTCCGAAACCCACGAAATATCATGAAATCACACCACACAACAACTCAAGACAGAACTTGAAGAACTGTAAGCAGCAAGGCACACACAGACACACCTACCTACAACCCGTCTCTAAGCTCCTACCACACAGTCCAAATATGTAGTACTACTCGACGAAGCAATCTTATTCGCGGAAGCTTCTTGCGCGGCTAACAATCCTTCAGTTAACTAAGTCATGTCGTGCTGCATGACAACATACATGCTTGCTTACATCAACTACCACTACACCCCATAGTTAGTACATAACAAAGGTAATCATGCCCGCATTCGGTATGTTCAATGCATATTAGTCCTGACGAAATGAAGAAGATAAAAAAGAAACTTTATACATACATGACAGATAACAAAGGTATAGACAGACAGACATGACTTACATACCTTGCAGAAATGACTGAAGAACTGAAGAAGGTTCATAATTCGTGGGTGGTTATCCGAGAGAATTGAATATCCGACGGAACCGAATACCAATTGATAATAATTGATAAAAGAGGAACAAAGAAAGGAAGAATAAATGGTTAGTAGTACAGTCCCTCAAACAACACGGGAGAACAGTAGTTACACAACCAACCCGAACATCCTCCCACAACTGCCGTAGAAAATATACCACGAACCAAGAAACCAACCACCAAACACCTCCAGTGGGTTCTAAACCCGGAATCTGGAACAACCCACCTACATAGTAGTAGTACCTACCCGCTCAGCCCAGCCCAATTAAGATTCAACAGGGGATTAAAGTGGAAAAAAACAAACGGCACGGATGGACAATCCGACGGACACGGGCCATAAGGGAATTGTGGATGCGAATGTGTGGGTTGGGTGTTAAGTGGTTCGTTCGCAACCCGCCAAGTCAAGATTTCTTACTTAACCTAGTTTACTTAAGGGAATGAATAACCGCATATATTCTCCGGAGGGGAAAGGGGGGTTACTACTGGTTGATGGAGGAAATGATGGCTTACATCAATCAAGGATTAAGAGGGAATGGTCCAATGCTTGTGGATATGTTGGATTATCATGGAGTAAGTAGAACTTACTAAAGTATCTACTTTTTATCTACTAACTACTAACTACTAATGTATAGTGGATGTCTGGGATGATGGAGAGAAGAAAGAAAGAATGGGGTCGGTGGCGTTGAGGTAGGTGGATGTTCTCCTCTTTTGTCGGTGGTTAGTACTACTACTAGTATTGGGGTAGGTCGATGGTATAGTAGTTGTATGATTTTAATGTACTGACGATGTATAGATGCTGGTAAGTGCTTTACGGGGTTTACAAATATGGTCTTGTTATTCATTTAGTGTTTGGTTTTAATTGTAGAGCGGGATTACGATGTCAGCTATGGCCAATTACTAACTACACTGTATATTAACTAAAACGGATGAAGAATAAACTTCAGCATTTGAATGTAACCACAATAAGTATTAAATGGGATAACTCACAGACCACAGCCAGGTAGACTACTAGGTAGGTTAGTACTTTTGTTAAAACTCAGAAAGAATTGAAAGTCCAGTAGGACGAAATACGTAAAAACTCAACCAACAACATCCAATACAATTCGCCAGCAACAATACATTCATCACTTTTATGAAACTCACCCGGCATTACCATCTCCGGCAATTGAAGCCACAAAAGCCCAGATGAGGCGAACAAGCAAGCGATGGGAAGGGAACAAGCGCCATGCACGACATGGATTCCCCAGTCAAATGTCAGTCATCCAAATTAACTACCCACCATTACCATCCCCGCGGAGAGTGAAAAAGTCATCAGCCCACTAGATGAACAATGAAGTAAGCCACTACTACTATGGCAGTGTGCTGCCACTTTTTCTGCTCTGTTAATTAATATCCTATGAAGTTCATGATAAGGCGTGTGAGGCTGTGTGATCCATGGTTCCGATCGAATCAGAAGAGGTCACGCACTCCCGCTCTCTGCCGTGTCGGACGGCAGAGAAGAAAAATGATGGAGGGGGAGAGAGAGGAAGGGAGGGAGGGAGGGGGTGAAGGTGCAGGGATGTTTTAGAGCGAGGGTGGCAAATATACTTAACTTGAACTAGTAGTGGAACTTTACTTTCTTTCTTTTCTTTTCTTCCCGTCTGTCTGTCTGTCTGTCGGTTCGAACGGAAGCGGGATCGATCTACTTACTGGTTGTCATTTGGAAATCAGATTGATTGAGTGATTGATTCGTTCGATCGATGCGATGACTTTATCATTACGTGTTGAAGGATGGGATCAGAGATCATTCTTTTCTATCTTCTATCTAATTGATGACTTTTGTAACTAGCGTAGTGTTTAAACCACTACTTGTGCCCGTGCTGAGATGGTCGAAAAGTAAGCAGGTGAGACATTTTACTCAATGCGGGTAAACTAAGTGGTACTTACTATTTATGTAGATTCGGGATTCGGGATATGCTTAAAAAGTACCGACTTATAGGTATTTTCTTTTTTGTTTTGCTTTATTTGCCTCCATGATGATTAAGTAAAATATGGCGTGCGCTTGGCGACCGGTATGTGCGTGATCATCTCGATACTTACTTCGTAGATCAGTGGGTGAGTGACAGGCAGACAGATACTTTATGTAAGTAGGTAGACGAGTTGGGGAGATCTACTGCTTACTTACTTGGTGACTTACATGATAGTTCCATAGTAGAGGACCCTATTGCTTACAGTAGCAAATCCATTAAGAATCTATTATTATTCTCGCTATACAATACCTACTTACTCTCCGTAAGTAAGCGAGCAGTAATTCATAACCTAGTGGCCACATACACTGCTATACATAGGGCAGAGGAAGAAGAAAAAGAAGAACCAGAAGATCAACCCCCCAACCAAAAAAGGAAATACACACCATACCACCATAGGCAGGAAATTCAATTGAATTTCATCTCCATCCCCCCAAGGGAAACTATTGTTCCATGGTTCATTGATAACTTGGGTGGTTCCATGAAACAAAATCTCCGGTCAGGTAGCAATACATACATTACATGTGACTTGCAGATGATATTGATCCCGTTTCGGGTAATAGCCCTTTTCCAACCATGTAATAACAACTACTGCTTCGGAATATAGATAGAGATTTGGACAGATAGAGGAGCGACCACTACTAGCAACTGGTAACTCTATTAATGTACCACCACGCGCTATTCTAAATCGATTTGCTGATAAATAATCCCATTGTGGCGTAGATAGTGACAGGACTAGTCCATTTTACTTGGCTTTATTGATCCGTAAGGACAAAAAGTAAGCAAGCAAACGCAACCTTCTTCTGCTTTTTACAAATCTTGACTTGCTCTCCTGCGATGATGATTTTCCCCTTGCGTGGAATCAATGTGGAATGTTCGAACGGTCGCGCTGTTCCATGCTTGATGCCCAATGGATCAATTTATTCAGTGCCCAATGGATCGTTTTTCTATCTTTTATTCTCCTTGTCCCTGAGAAGAATACTTGCATACATAGTATACTATTAATACTGGTTCCTACAATACATACGAATTTACCGAATTGCTGGGTCTGTCACTGGGATGAACATGTAATTACCGGGAAGTACGATGTAACTTAACAGAGGGTGAAGTGCTATAGTAAGTATAGTCAGTTCTATCTACAATAATATAGGGAGGAGTAAGTAAGTAGTAGATAGTTAGATATGAGTTACCTCTATCTAGATACTCCGTTCCGTTCATACCTCAAATCACATCAATTACTATTCAAATATACCCTCCCATCGAAATAACAACTACCAACCTCACCAAGTTACACTCTACCAGCAAAGCACCACCCCCAGAGTTGTACATATCCACACACCCAAGTAACTATACTATCCCAAAGAAGTAAAAGAAGCAGCAAGCTTTGACAGCCATTCGCCCCCAAGCTACACAGTACACAGCTCAAGTAACTAAGTAGCAGTGTGTAAGTAAGTAAGTATGAACCTCCATCCCGCACAGACACCCATCCATCCGTCCATCCACATCCATACCCCTAACAACCATCCCATCATATACTATACTAGTCCCATGAAGGAAGGAGCACAAGATGTAACCAAGCTAAGCCCGCCAACATGTAACGCGACAAAGTCTCTCATATCCTAAACTACTTACACAACTTACACCACTACTACTCTACACTGAGAAAGAAAAGAAAGAAGGTTTCCCACCAAGGCAACGGAAGCATAAGAAAACAGAAAGAGGAGGAGGTGGGGGGGAGGGAGGGCAGGTGACACACGCACACACGGAGGGTAAGTATTATTCCTTATTCCAAATGCCAATCCCACCCAACGCCACCCCATCATCCAGCATACTTGGCTGACTGGATGGCGTTCGGTATGGCTGACACGGGCCAGAACCATTGGTTGAGAGGGCCAAGGGACTAGGTAGGGTACCTGACGCCGTGGCTGAACCATAAGGCTGATGGATGGATGGGGGAGGGCGATCAAACCAAAGCGAAGGGTAGGTAGTAGGTATAGGTAACCAAGAGGTAAAAAAAACTAAGGGGGTGGCCACTTCTCCCACACTGTCAAAGGGTAAATAAGAAAAGAAAAAGAAAGGAGGGAAAAGAAATTAAGGTTGATTGATCGATCGATCGACGCGACTAGAGCAAGTAAGTAATAGCAGTACCTACCTAAGTAAATGACGGCGGTTGCAGAGTTAGGTTCACCGGTTGGAACTAAAAGGGGTAGTAGGTACTAAGTAGTACTGTAGGAGACATGTGATTGTGTATGTCAATGGATGGATGGATTTTTGGAAGAAGCAATAGGTGGCAAGGCGAGGGATATCATGGATAGAGTGAGAGATTTCGAGAATTGTTTTAATCGCTGACCGTCCATGACAATGTAGAGTGTGTTTGCAATATGGTCCAGGTAGCTCGTGGTCTGTTCCATTCAGGATGCATTGTACTGCCCCGACAAAAAATTCGGGATCCCTAATCCTAGCTAGATGCAAGTCATACGAAGGTATGATCGATCCCGATGCTATGCATATCATCCGTTGCGATCGCGATTAAGTGCAGCGAAGCTATACTGAATCGTTAGGCACTTGATGAGAAGCAGGTGATCTGTCACGGCTATGTCCTATCTCCGATGCATCTAGCCGCCATCAGTCGTTCTCGTTCTCTTTCAGAAGGGTCTGCTTGTCTGTCAAACATCTACAGCTACTAATTCAATAGGACGAATCAAGTGCCATTACTGGCATGCAATTATCTATGGGCCATTCGGCCAACTATCAATTATGCCCCCTAAACAAATATGTCCCCAGTATGATCGCCATGATCCAAGTCCCGCTTATTTCATGGCATGCACCGTGTGCTGACCCGTTCCATATATTCAGTAACAGTCCCTCAGCACAATGCTCGAACCGGCAAAGAAAAAGAGAAAGAAGAAGTGACAAAAGAAACGACAAGGAATGAAAGCCACCGCAACTCCCGGGCGCCGCCCAATGTAGACAGTCCAGACTCAGATGGCAAGCAGACAAGAAGAAACAAGAAATGTAATGACCTATAGACACGTGCGCGCTCAGGCGCGGGGCAATTAGACTGCGCTGCTCTAGTCTGCACGATTCCGCTCGATGATCGGCCATGCGGCTGGCCAACAGAACTTCGAGCTGGACCGAACTGCAGGTGACATCAGACGCAAGCGCTTGTGAATCCATGTGCACATCCATTCGGTGAATGGCATAAGGCGCATGCCCAAGTTGAGTAATATGATATTGCTGAAACCTCCTTCGAGGTCAGGGCCAGGTGCTGCAAGGCGAGTCAATATGATCATGATCAGACAAGCGATGAAGCGTAGGTAACACTATGGTTAACATGCAGTGATCAATGCATGATAACCAGTGAGAAACCGTCGATCCAGGGTCCGCTGGTGCCGGAAATGCCGGCAATCTTATACCCAAGTGGGGGAATCAGAGTGTACCTGAACTTTTATTAGTAAAGCGGTCCTAAAACCAAGGCAGTAACGGGATTCTTCATACCCTGAGCCTCCCGAGGCGTTTCCATAAATGCCAGACTTCCTGCCCTGGCTGGTCAGAATCTCAATGCCATCAACCCACGCTCCAGCGCGAACGTAGAATCCAAGTATGATTTCGCCTCTCCGGGTATCTGTCGACTGTTAGACCATGTCCGAGCGTGAATCTTTCAGGATTGTAACAAAAAACTTACCGAGGACAAAATCATCCGGCTTCCCACCACGATTGCCGAAAAGCTGACTGGTAGCATCCTCGTAGAAGAACTCCAGACCATAGAGCGCATTATCGTGATATATCCGAATAGAGGTAAGGATCTTAGTCGACGACACAGAGGCACAGTCAAGCAGCAGCTGCTCCGGTTCACTACCTTCGAGCTGCGAAAGGCCCACTTTGTTCCCTCTGTACCCGGTATGACTCTTGGGAAGCTTGACCAAGTTCTGCTTCGACTTCAGGTTGCTGACCGAGTCAATGTTGTGACTCCCGAGGGCGCCAGAGTAGACGACCAAGCGGATGGACTTCTTTTTCTCTTTCTCGGTGCCATACACGCGTTGTCGCAGTTCGCTTTCCGTCACCGTCACCTGCCTTGGTAGCCCGTTGCTACTCGACTCGCTGTTCAAGTATTCGATAAAGCTGTGGCACACATTGTCACCTTCAGCGTAGAGTTCCATGAATGCGATACCCGTCGAGGCAGTAAACACGATTTTACCATTCTCCACAGGCCAAACCGAAACGCTATCATCCGAGCCCACAGGAGCATCGCCAGGAAGTCGGAAGCAGGGGTGGAACCGAAAACGTAAAGCGTCGAGCCGATGCCAGCTACACTCATCTTGAGGCAAGCACAGTTTAAGGCCCTGCGTCTTCGTCCGAGTCGCAAACGGTTCACGTGTGAGGAAAGTCCGGTTAAGACGAACATAGTCCCTGAGCATGATCCCCGACTCCTGATGTGGACATCCAAAAAGGTGTCCGACTTCATGGAGATGAGCACCAATACCGATATTGGCGGCTTCCCAGCTGGAACCGCCCTCGCCGGAATCGTTAGCCACATAGTCTGTGTCAGTCCTGGTGCAGTCCGACAAGGCGTCGACAACATCCTCCAAGCTGGTGGGATAGCTCTGCAGGCTGTGGGAGCCAAATATCGCTAGCTTGAGATCCCCTGTGCCTGAACCCAGAGCGGCGTGGCCAGTGATGGTCTGGGTGCCTACATCCCAATGGGAGTCGAGAAGCAAGACCGAGACGTACTGCTTCTGACCGGGTCGAAGACGGAAATGGTCTTTCACCGCATCTCGTGCGATGCGGAACAGCTCATCCTTGTGGGTAGCAGAGTCATTCTGCTGGGCGAGGTTGAGATCTCTGAGCTCTGCGACCGTCTTGTCGGTCCGAACAACGTGGACCTTGGCCTCGTTCCGCATCTGGCCATTGATGGCATCGCGGCGGCTCAAAGTGCCTGCTTGCCATTCTTCTTCGAACCGGAAACACCGACGGCCAAAGTTGTTACGGAACATCTGTTCGCTAGTGAATGCCTGCCACAGGTACGCCGCCATGCGGTACTTTTGGATCGCAGTTTCGAGACCATTTCCTTCCCGCTGTTGTCTCTCGGGCACGGCGTCGAATGTCCCATCGGAGTCCTTTCCAAGCAGAACGACGAGGTGCAAGGGCGGCGTATTAACCAAGGGAAGATAGTTGATACAGATATACGACGTATGGACGGTCTGATGCGCACTGCCGGAGGAATGTTTGGCTGTGACAAAGTCGAAGCGGAGGCGATTCGGGCCGGGAACCAGGTGCACCAGGGTCTTGAAGTGAGCAGATGTAACGGGCCACGGGACCGAGGGGAAGCTGTCCTGATGGTGGGAAACCGTTACAGTTCCGTCCAGCGGATGTTGTCTTGGGTCTCCTATTTGGCCATACACCAGCAGAACTTTTTGATGGACCTATCGGCGAGTAATGCAAGTCAGCTTTATTGCACCAATCGGTATAGTAGCCATAATCAGAGAATAAAAGAGTAGCGAAGGAGTACAAACCCAAGAGTTATCGGAGATGGAAATGATCCTCGGCGCATAAGGAGAGGAGGGAGTAGGTGACCGCACAGCCCCATTGACAGACATATTACTGCCAAACTGCAGCGAGCAATCAAGTGGTCAGCCTAGGAACCGCACCCAGTGTGGGTCTGACTTACATAGGCGCTATTCCGCTGCGACGGAGCTGTGAGAAGACCAGGGCGTTGGGGAGGCGCAGAAAGAGGAGAAACAGCGTTGTTGGAGGTGCCGTTGCTTTCGCTAAGAGATGGTAGATTAGGAGAAGAGAGAGTTGGCTTGATTGATGAGGGTGGAGTGAGAGAGCTGTAGGAGGCTGTTTCAAGCGTGGATGATGATTTTCCCGAAGTCATGTCCCCATTGGATTGAGACTCGTTGGACTTTGTCTCTGGTGCCGACTTGCTGGGGTGAAAGTTGGCTTTCGAGCGACGACGAAGCTGTTTGAACAACGGCATGATGGGTGGTGTTGTTGGTTGCTGTTGCTGCTGTCGAAGAAAGAAGAAGGTCGGAGGGCAGTGGTGGATGGGGCAGTAAGTATACCGGAGAAGGCAAGAGTGACCTTGCCTCGTTTTGCCTTTCTTCAGGAGGAATGAGCTGGACTCTTCCAATGGAGAAAACCAAGTAGAAAGTAATCTGCCAGGGATAGATGAACGAGCGACTGCGATTCCAACGCTTATTTCTTTTTCTTCTGTTGTTAACGGTTTCTCAATTACTTTTTTTTTTTTTTATCTTCTTTTCTTTTGTTATTTTTAACGAGAGATTCGTGGACAGCTCAGCGTTGACGACAACGAGAAGATCGGAGAAAGAGGAGAGCGACCGTTTGCGGCAGCGAGTGACGAACGAA